AACAACAACAACAACAACAACAGCAATAAATATTTCAGCTATGTTCATGTAATATTATTACATGACTGCTACGTATCTGTCAAAACTCAGAAAAATATACAAAAGAGGTTTTTTTTTTTACTATATGCACATTATATCTTCAACAAACAAAAATAAGCACTTTCTCCTTTGCTTCAACTCTCAGTCAGACAAGAGACATGTCCATAAGAGGAACAATACTGTTAGAACAACCAAACACATAAGATCAAAAGGGCAGTGCTGGCCCAAGGACAAGGATCATTAGACAGGAAGAAGAAGAAATGAAAAGGTGAACACAGGAAGAAGTGGAACAGTATTTTCCATAATGGGGTTTGCAATAAATGTTCAAAATGATCTAATGATCTATGAACTGTTCCACAGGAAACCAATGTATTCTGTAAACTTTCACCCAAATTAAAAAAAGAAAAAGCAATTCTCAGGAAAGAAACTGTACAAGCCTTTCAAGAAGATGGAAAAAAAAATCTGCAAACAAAGGGTTACAAAAAGACAAATAGAGAATAAAAGCACAAAGCAGGCTAGCCTACAAACCTCAAAGATGGAGCTAGAAAGAAAGATCCGAGATAATAGGTAAAATGTAAAGAAATAATATTCTCCAAAATGGAAGCATATGAATTCACAGAATTAAATACCCCAATAAGTACACACTACAATGAATGACTAAGAGCAAATCCACACCAAGATACATCACAGAGAAATGTCAGAACACTGGAAACAAGGAAAAGTTAAAGGAAGAAAGGTTCAAAGAGAATAAAAATAGATTTCATACACAGGATCAGAAATGAGAAAGACATCAAACTTCTCAACAGAAAAACTGAAGAGCAGAAAGCAGAGAAATACCTTTAAAATTCAAGAAATTCTTTAACCCACAATTATCACCTGGCCTAAAAGGTAGAAGGAAGACATTTTCCGATATCCAAAGTGTCAACAAACGTTCATCCCATGATCTTGGAAATTCCCCAGAAGCTGTATGTCATCAGAATTAACAAGGAAACAAAACACCTGGATGAGGCCTGAAAGGGGGTTTTGAAGTGCAGGATCCAGAAGCACAAGACGAAGCTCTGGAGGCACAGTCCACAGTCTGTTACACCACCAAAGGAACCACCTCTCTGGTGGTTCAAATCCACCAGCTGCTCCATGGAAGAAAAATGAGCAATCTCCCCCCCGAAGATACACAGCCTCTGAAAACCCACGGGAGAATCAGCTATGAGTCGGTTCTGACTCAACAGTAATTGAGTATATGCCAAGTGATATCACATCCAATCAAGTAAATTAAAAATCAAGACAACTAATACTTAGGGTGATGGAGAAGGCACACAAAAACACTGGGCAGGTTAAGTGCAACCAAAACACACCAGTGCAGCTGTATTTCTTGTCGCCACCTCATGAAAAATTTAACTATCCTGGAAAGACTAGGAAGGAAGAAGAACAAGGAGGCCGAGGGCAACCAAATGCTCATCTTCTAAGGACCAAAGTTGGAAATATTTCCTCAAGTTGAAAACAGAAATAACAATAAAACCATAGTTCCAAGATTTTGAAGCAAATATCCAATTAATTAGTTATGTGCTGTTCCGTCATCTGCAACTCATAGTGACCCTATATACAACAGCTCTGACTCCTGCCCTATCCTGAGCCAACCTGTCTCTGACATACTTACCCCCCATTACCTCAATCACTGAGTCAATCAATCTCATCAAGGGTCTTCCTCTCCTGCACTGACATCTCTCTAAAAACCAAGAAATGGTAGTGGAGAGCATTTGATTCTTTGATGTATAAGAACTTATAATTCTGATTAAAAATTAAAACCGATTATCAAAAAATAAAGCAGCAGATGATGAAGTCACTTGGGAAAAGTGAACACTTTGTTTTCTGAAAGACCAAGAGAACAAGACACATTGACTTTAAAAATGTTCCCTCAGGACAGTGGGATTTGAAACACAAAAGAGGCAAAGTAAAAACCTTATCTTTTCCACTGCACAGCAGGACTATGGGACATCGTCCTCAGGCTCCAGATGCCTGCCCACCTTGCTTAAGGTCCCTAAGAGATTTAACATCAAAGATGCTGCACTGCTAACACAGTCGCCAAAGAATCCACCAGCAGCTCTGCGGCAGAAAGACAGGCAATGCTCTCCTGTGCAATCTACAGTCTCAAAAAACCCACAGAAGCCAACAGCTATGAATCGCTTCCAACTCAACAGCGATGAGAGACACAAGGAGACACAGAGATCCTAACATCTTCTGTCCACCTGCAGTCCCTATTCCACACTGCAGTCTGAGGCTGGGCCATGAGCTTCCCTTAGCAGAACTCCCAACCCCTTTCTCCCTTTTCTTTCTTCACCAGTTGAGTTGCTAGCACACTGCTGTTCCTGCTCCAGCAACAACAGGGTGTCCTAAAGCTTGACCTAGTGTCCAAAATTAAGTTTATGAAGTCCCAGGGGCATTAAGTACGTGCAGGTCCAAACCTGCTCTCCCAGTTTATCATGTCACCCTCACTGAGCCAATGAAAGACTAGACTGCAGTCCCTCCCCAAAAAGGCTATTCTCAAGAAGGGAGCACATTGCTTCTCCTAAATCTACTTTCTTCCTTTTCTTCCTTCCAGTTAACTGGCCCCACCACTTTTTCCCCACCAGCCTCCCTGATTTCATGGGGAAAGGGCATAAGACACAGGATCAAAACAGGAGACTTCCATTAATGATAGAACAATTAATTCTTTTTAGACTCAGTTTTTTCAACTCTAAATGAGAATATTCCTTGAGAAAAGAAACCTAGTGATCACATCTGCATAGCCCACTGTGGCTAGTACAAGATACACTAAAAAAAAAAAAAATTCACTCAGTGTATTCACGAACAACTTTCAGGGAAAAATCCTCAATCCATAAACTCCTTACCTGTTCTTGGCTCTTGCAGGAATAACCAAGCTGATGTACAACCCAAAGCCACACACCTGTTTTTAGGGAGCGAGGAGCCCAGGCAGCAGTTGCCAAAAGTGCGGGACAAGAAGCAGGACGTACCTGGAAGGAAGTGGGGATGCAGACAAGGTCCAGATTCTCTTGTTTCACTCTTTCAGCTGCGGAAATAAAAGCTGTGTTGGTGGTTTGGTTTTGTACTCTCTTTTTGTTTTATTTGTCACATGTAAAGTTTCTATCTCCCACTGAGAACTGCCACTCATTTCGTCTTGTTGTTTGTTGTTGTTATGTGCCGTCGAGTCGCTTGCGACTCATAGCGACCCTATGTACAACAGCCCTAAACTCTGCTCTGTCCTGTGCCAATCGC